CGAGCCTGGTTGTCAGCAGGCGAGGGGAGCTCTGGGGCCTGTCGGCTGGATATCACCTGGACTGCTGGGGGCTTGGCGGCCGCGGCATGCAGGGCGGGCGAGGCGGGACACCGGGACACTTCCGGCGTGTCGGCCGCGGTATGCAGGGCGGGCGAGGCAGGTCTGGGCTTGTGTGCTGACGATCCATCTTCAGCACCCTGTCGGGTGGGCAGGAGATGTTTTCTCATTCGCAAGGCCTGGTCTCAGCTTTGTGGTGGCCGTGTGGGGCGCGTGCTGGCTGGCCACGTGTGGTCCTTGGATGCAGCCCACCAACAGTTTCAAGCTCCGGCCGCCGCCGCCTCCCCCTCCCTCTGCTTCCTCACCCACCTCTTCCCTGCTCAGCATCGCCTGTTGGACTTCTGCGCCCACCAGGAGGTCGGACCATGCTGGGGCCACCGCGGGCGTGCCCTGGAAAGAGGCCCCCCACGGCCCCAAGACATTTCAAGAGGCGGGAGACCCCAAGAGGGGCCCCAGGAGCCTCAGAGGAGCAAGCGCGCGTAGCGCGCTCGAGCGGTTCTAGCATGGACTGGTGAGGAGGGGGCTTGCAACGGGGTCGGACTGGAGGACGCCACGTGTTCACCTGAAACAGCACCTGGCCAGGCCGATCCTGGGACCGGGATGGGTCTGGTCAGGATCGGTGCAGGTATGCAGGCAGGTGTATAGCTGGCGCCATCACAGCAGGAGGGCGTGTTGCAGCTTCAGGGGTGTGTGCCGCGATGCTCGGGTCACTCCTGCTCCCTCCCCCGTGCGCCCTCGCGCGAAGAGGCGGCCGAGTGGCGTCAAGATTTCGCTCGCGCAGAGCATCCGCGTCGACGACGACACGTGCAGGGAGGAAACAGGAGCGTTCGTCGTCGTCTCCGACTGAGTCGCCGTCGTGGGGGTTTGGGAAGGAGGATTGTGATGAGGGGGAGATGCGGGACGCATGTACGTATGGTCCGGGGGCAGGCTCGCTGTCTGGGTGCGGGCAATCCCTTCCCCTGTCTCTTCCATTTCTCCTTCTCCTTGGCCTCCATTTTCCCCCGTTCCCAGCTTCCCCTTCACCTTTCTCTTGCCTTTGCCCTCCTTTCCCCGCCTTCCTCCGTTCCGCGCTTCCCCTTGCCATCCCCTCCCCTTCTCCCTCTATCTCTCCTTCGCCTCCTGTGCTCCTTCTCCCCTGACACCTGCCTCCTCGTCCTCCTCGCCTGCGTCCTGTTGCTGCTGCTCCTTCTCCGCCGCCTCATGGTCCTCTTCCTCCTCCCCCCCTTCCTCCTCCTCCTCCTCCTCCTCCTCCTCCTCCTCCTCCTCCTCCTCCTCGCATGCTTAATCACGCTCATGCTGCGAGGAATTTCCCGTGCGAGAAAAAGGAAGCAAAGGCATACGAAGAGGTTCGTACGATATCAAGAAAGGGAAAAACAAGGCGTCGACCATGACAAGGAAGGACGTAATGATTGCGAGGCGTACCGAGCTGGTCAAACCAACCCCGAGCCCGTGTACCGGCCTCCCCTCGGTGTTTTTCCTCGGCTTGCTCTTCACCTCCCCATGGCTCGTCTTCGCGTTCTTGCTGTCGCAGTTTACGCAGATGGTTCGGACCTGTCCCGAGGACACACCGCAATGGATTGGGATCGCCCGATTATGTTCCGATCCTCAGACTGCCCGATTCACTGACCTTTCCTCCTCTCGCTGCACCCCCCCTGCTGTCTCTCACCACCTCCCCCCTCCCCTGCCCATCCTTTCTTCGTCTTCCTTCGCTCCTCCTCCTGCCTCCCCTTACATCCTCTTCCTCCCCCCATTGATCCCACTTTGCTCCTGCTGATGTTCCTCCTTCGCCTTCTGCTCCTTTGCCTCCTCCTCCTCCTCTTCCTCCTCCTCCTCCTCCTCCTCCTCCGGTTCACCCGCATGCTGCAAGCTTGCCACAGGAGGGGGCACCACGATCTCGCTGGCCAACAGCCTGATGTCGACGCCGCCTGGGCTGTCGGCAGCAGGAGGGAGGGCCCCCTCTTGTTGGTCATGCTGCTGCTCCTCCCTCAGTGTCGTCCCCCGGCTCAGTTGCAAGATATCAAATTATCTCTACGATTCGCCATTCTCGTCCTCCTCCTCTGTCTCCTCCCCATGCTTGACCTCGTTCGTCTTGCCCGCCGTCTCCTCCGTTCCCTGTTTCCTGACTACCTTCCAGGAGGGAGAAGGGCAAGAGGGTGAGTAGGGGGAGCCTGCTCCCACTCCTGCGCCTCCAGATTGTGGTGATGTTGCTCTGCGTATCCAGCGCCCTTCCGCCTGGGCGACCACACTCCAGGTCACTCGCAGGGGCGCGAGCATAATCGCGTATTTCGTCCATCCCTCCTCGTCCTCCCCCTCTTTCCATTTCCCTCCCTCCTCGTCTTTCCTCCTCCGCCCACAGCTTGCACAGCATGAGAACTACTCTCCCTCTTCCCCGCAGGCGTGTCCCAAGAGTGGCGCGCTTTTTTCGTGTAAGTTTGATTTCAAAAAACGCAGGATCGACCCGAGCTGTGTTTTGTCATGTGTGGTTTCCCTCTTTCCACCGTGTTCGGTCTTTCCGACGTGGCGTTTCCGCTGCAGCGTGGACCCACGTTTCGGGATCGGCGCCCTGCTCCCGTCGTTCGGTATGGCGCTCTCGCCCCAGCGCAGGCCACTCTTCTCAATCGTGCAACCTATCTCCATCCCCGCGGGGCCATGGTATCTCAGCCCCACCATCTCGCCACCCCGGTTGGGGATACGTCCCTCGAAGCCCGAAGGGAACAGCCTCTAATTCCATCTCTAGGGGGGGCAGTTTGCCAGCGGGGCCCAGGCCACGCTGGTGGGGATAGGTGTCGGTTAAACAATGCCCAGTCGCTTAGGCCGAAGTCACTCCCATGAGCCCAGGACTCGGGGCTCCTGATCACACGGCGGAGGTCGGAAGCTGCTTTTCTGGTTTTCTGGCTGGTTTCCCCTTTCTGCTCTTCTAGTCGTCCTCCTTGTCCTTACGTATTCTCATTCCCCCCCTCCCATTTCCCCTCTCCCTTTTCTCATTCCTCCTGCGGCTAGAGGCCGCGGAGGGCGCAAGAGGCTCATCGGTGCTCCTCCTTCCCCGAGCCAGGACGCAGTCTGCGCTTCATGTTGTTCACGACTCTGCGGCCACGTCTTGGCTGGCTGCCTGTAAAAACGGAGTTTTGGAGGAGGAGAAGGAGGAGGAGGAGGAGGAGGAGGGAGGAGGAGGAGGAGGAGGAGGAGGAGGAGGACGATGGAGGATGAGGACGATGGAGGAGGAGGAGGAGGAGGAGGAGGAGGAGGAGGAGGAACTGGAAGAGGAGGAGGAATGCATGTGGTGCGCTCCGTCTGCTGGTCGCGAGCACGCTGTGGCGCTCACAGGCACGCTGCCGTGCTCGCAGACATCGTGCGGTGCCCACGGGTGCGCTGCTCGTGCCCGGTACGCGTGCCGTGTTGCTCGCAGCCAATTTGTGGCACCGACAGGGTCTGGCGCACGGTTCAGCACACACGTAGTGCTCGCAGACTAGTTTGGCACTGGCCAACATCGGCTTCCCTCGCCGCTTGGTGTTCGTGAGCACACTCTAGTGCTCTGGGGCAGGTTGTGGCGCTCGCAGGGTGTTGGATGGGAGTATGACGCGCACGCTGCTGGCGCTCGCAGGCTCAGTGTGTTGCTCGCAGGAGCTGCGTTTGCAATACTTGGCATATTGCTGTAAATACCCGTGGCGCTCGCATGCTGGAGCTCGCATGCTATTGTGATACGTGATGCTGATGTTGGCGGCGTCCAGCTTCCCCCGTCGTCCAGTGGACGTGCAGGGTATTGTGGTATTCACACGCATGCTGCTGGAGCTCGTAGACATTCGGTGGTGCTCGCAGGGTGCTGTGCTATTGGCTGGACTCAGCATGCCACTGTGCGCACTTGACACGTGGCGCCGGCAGCCTGTCGTGGTGACCGGAGGATCTCCAGCTTCGTTCACGGCCTGGCGTGCGCGCGCCGAGCTGGTGTTCTCAGGTATGTTCGGGGATGGACAGACCTCCTTTTAGTAAAACGTGGTTTAGTGAAAACGACCTGAGGCCAAAACCTGGCGGACGCAAGCCTGGAAAATAACGGCCGCGGCGCCCTCTCGAGAACCGAAAACGGCCAATTCACTAATCGACGTGTCACTGTTGGGGGTTCTGTCCACCCCCGATATGTGCCGTGCTTCACATTGTGTTGTCATCTTGCACGGTGCGGCTTTCGCAGACTGCAGCGGTGCTCGCAGGGCGTGCCGTGGGGTTCGCGGCGCGTCCCGAGCCGTCATGCGGTCGGCGCGCCCCCCCCCCCCCCCCCTCTCCGCGCGATGGGCAGCATGAAGATGTTCCCTCCCTTCAGAGCGTGAATTACCTACCCCGCTTTCGCTTCCAGGCAAAACCAAGCCATACCACGCGCCTCCTCGTCAAGCGGCTTGACCAGTAGAGGCTGCAATTTGGCATCGTTTGGTATCTCTTGGAAGCGAGGGTGGTCAAAAGCGAGGTAGGTTTGTTTTCCCCCTATCCCTACCCCTCCTGCCCCCCTCCCGTCCCTTTGGCGGCGCGCATCAGGGGGTGGCGTGCGAGGGATCCCCTACCCACTGAAAAGTAGCAAGGATAGCAGCAAAAATAAGATTTGCCGATGAGCGGTGCTAGTCATAATTGTAATACGAATGTACAAAAATAACAGTCTTAGTACTAAGAGTACTACGTATATGATAGATGGTTAACGATATCAAGAAGACGAGCCCGAGTACTAGTAAACATGATAAGACGACGAACAATAACCAGAAGAGGGAGGAAAACAACAAGCTGCACAAGCATACACTTTCGGATGCCGGATTCTTTGGATCGGCGCTGGTGTCCCCTGGTGCGCTGCGAAGAGGGCTCAGCGCCGATCCAACGATATCCGTGCGGTCCCGCGAAAGGTTACGCTTGTGTACTTACTATTTCTTCTGTCTCACATTCGCCCATTCCCGCCGCCTGGACCCGACATGCGGACGCCTCATGAGGTGGCCATGATGCGGTCCGGTATCAGGAGCACGCGGTACCAGTATGGTTAGCTATGTCCGGTTATTACCGCGTTTGCCAGTAGCGCGGGTACCGTAGCAGGACCTTGCGGAACCGGTGCCGGTACGGTGCCAGGACTTCGCGGTACCGGTACGGTTTTGGGACCGCGGCCGGTGTCAGCGAGGTAATACGACCATAGGTGTTCGTGTCTCCTCCTTCCAGACACCCCCCCCTCGAATTACCCAGAGCCCTCACGGGGCAAAAGCAGGAAGGAAGGAGGCAAGGCTGGAGGCAGGAGACGTGACCCTCGGAGTGGGGGAGGCACACGGGGGGGGGGGGGGGGCACACAGGAGGCCGTAGGGAGGCACACGGGGAGGGGCGGCACGCGGGGGGAAGGGGGAGGCATACGCGAGCGGGGGAGGCACGGGAGGGGGGGGGGGGGGCAGGCGGGGGGGAGGCACACGGGGGGGGAAGGGTCCTGGGGGAAGGGGGGGGGCGGGGCGCACGGGGAAGGGGGGAGGCACACGGGGGGGGGGAGGAGCACATGAGGGGAGGGCACAATGAGGGTTGGGGCACATGAGGAGGGCACATGATGGGGGGGGGAGGAGCACGCGGGGGGTTGGAGGCACACGGGGGCGGGGGAGGGGTGAAACGCACGGGGGTGGGAGGCAGACGGGATCCAAGATGAGGTCGGGGTAGATGGGGTCGGAGAATCGCGCCGCATCGCCGATGCATCTGCTATGCGGCTCTATGTGTGGCCCGATTTTCTCAATGCCATCGTCGCCGATGCTGCGCGATCCTCCGGCCCCATCTACTCGGACCCCATCTAGGAGGCCTCTAAAGAAGGGCGCAACGGCCACACTGCGGAGAAGCGGCGTCGTCGTAGGCATACGACGCAGCCAGGCTGCGTCGAACGATGGGGCCAATGGGCGTCCAGGAGGTGGCAGCGGCACCGCGATCTCTCTCTCTCTCTCTCTCTCTCTCCCTCTCCTTTTCGTCGCCACCTCTGGCCTCCTGGCCTGGCCAGGACTGCGCTGATCGTGGGCATACGATGGGGCCTGACCAGGATGGGTGAGGTGGCCAGTTGACGTCGCTCGACTCCCCCCTTCCCTCTCCCTCCTCCTGCATGCCGCTCCTCTTTCCCCCCTCCCTGCGGGCCCCTCCGCCCTCTCCCCCTACCTCCCCCCCCCCCCTGGAGGCGGCAGCGGCACCGCAATCTCGCTCGCCGACTTCCTCCCGGCGCCCTCCGACGACGACTGCGGCTTTGGCCAGCCCCGGCGACTGTTCTTCCCGTGCGCCGACGGCGAGGCGCGCCGCGGTGAGGTAGGGGCCCGCTCCTCCTCCCTCCCCCCCTTCATCCTTCTTCCTCTTTCTTCCTCCCTCCTCCTCCTCCTCCTCCTCCTCTCCCCTCCTCCTCCTCCTCCTCCTCCTCTCCTCCTCCTCCTCTCCTCCTCTCCTCCTCCTCTTCATCCTTTCCTCCTTCCTCCTCCTCCTCCTCCTCCTCCTCCTCCTCCTCCCTCCCTCCTCCCTCCCTCCCTCCCTCCCCCCCTCCCTCCCTCTGGGTCGGGAGGGGAGCTTGCCGCCGCCCTGGCCTTGCAGCAGTGCCACAAGCGCCCAGGGCGGTGCTTTCATATTCCTCTGCTCGGGCTCGGTGTTTGATCGGGCCCCTTGTCCGCCGCTGCGGCCACCCTCCCTCCTCGGCGGCGTCCCAGTGACTCACCTGGACGTTTGCTGGCTCGCCCGCCCTGCTTCCTTCGGCGGCGGGCAAGGCGGCGGGACTCCTCGGCCGCCCTCGCGCCTCCGGAGAAGCTTGCCGTGCCTTCGGGGCAGGCCCAGAGCACATCTCGGACCGCCGGAGGACTTCCGCGCCCTGTGAGCAGGCCCGCCCCTCCTCACGTTCCCCCCCTTGGGCTCGTCGCCGGCTCCTCCCTCGCCTCGCGCCTCCCCTCCTCCTCCCCGAAGCGGTCTCCAGTCGGGGGAGCGTAAAACCCGGGTTTGCCAGGACTCGGCTTCGCCATCGTTTTTTGACGACCGCGCCTCGGATCTTGACGAGGAGGAGGAGTTTCGTGGGAGGTCTGCAGCGGGAGGCCTCGTCGAAATGCAGGGCCGGCCTCGTCATTTTCTGACGACCTCGTCGGGGATTTCCGAGTCCCCTGTACCCGGGTCTTACGCCCCCCTGATCTGATGGGCTTGTTTTCCACCACCACCACCATAAGTTGGCGGGGGTGGGGGTTCTACTCCTCCTCTTCCTCCTCCTCCTCCTCTTTATCCTCCTCCTCCTCCTCCTCCTCCTCCTCCTCCTCCTCCTCTTCGTCCTCCTGCACCAGCTCCTCCTCCTTCCCCCTCCAACTTATGATGGTGGTGGTGGAAAACAGGCCCATCATGATCCAGGCCGCGGCAGGGGCAGGCCCGGCGGGCCCCCGGGGGCCGCGGCAGAGGCGGCAGCGGGCGCGCCGCGCGCATCGGGCGGCGGGCCCCCTCTCCCCTCCTCCTCCTCCTCCTCCTGCTCCTCCTCCTCCTCCTCCTCCTCCCTCCTCCTCCTCCTCCTCCTCCTCCTCTCCTCCTCTCTCCTCGCTCCTCCTCCTCGCTCCTCCTCCTCCTCCTCCTCTCTCCCTCCTCCTCCTCCTCCTCCTCCTCCTCCTCTCCTCCTCCTCCTCCTCCTCCTCCTCCTCCTCCTCCCCCGGGCGGGCCGGGGCCGGGCGGCCCGGGCGCTCTCCCGGGCGCTGCCCGGCTCGCGCGCGGCGCGTGGCCGTCAGAGGGCCAGCCGTCGGCGGCGAGAAGGATCGCGGGCGATGTTTCTCCCCCAATCCCCGAGTTTCGGCCGAAAAGTTTGGCCGCTCAGAAAAATGGGAAAACCTTGGGATGCACCCCAAGGGGGCTATTCGGACGCACCCCTATCGAGGATGGACAGCCCCCCCATCGTATATCCCAGGGTCGGGCCCAAAATTTATGGTTCATTCGGAAACCCCACGAAGCCTGGGATGGGGGTCGACACATCCCCTGTGAAAGGAGGGGGGGGAAGCGAGAATCAAGAGGGAAGAAACACACACACAGACACAATTCATCGTCGATCCCCCAGAAGATGTAGGGGAAGTATGGGAGTGGCGGGGAAGGCAAAAAAACACAGAGAATATATATGAAGATACGGGGGATCTTTGTATTTGTGCGTATTCATTTGTGTGTCCTGGCGCCCCTTCAGAGAAGGAGGAGGAGGCGCTCTCAGATGGCGGCGGGGCTTCTCGGAAGCCCTCGCGCCTTTGGGAGGTGTTCTGTGTCTTCGGGGGCGAGCTTGCAACACACTTCTCGGAAGGCTTGGTGGCTTCCGAGCCTTCTGAGAATGCCCGCCCCGTCTCACCCCCCCCCTTCCGGGGCTCGCCGCCGAGATGTTCTTCGCCTCCAGAGCGCACCAATGCCCATCGAGCTGGTGCAGGCGATCGTGCCCGTGGTCTTGCCCCTCCCAGGCTTGCCAGGATTCTCCGGATGCCTTTGCCAGCAGTTCCTCCTGCGCGTCCAGGCGCGGGGCTGTACGCCGCATTCCCTCCTGCGTTGGCTCCGCCGTCTGCGTCCTCGTCTCGTCGCGCTCGACGTAACTCTTCCTGCTCCCCTCTTGACGATGCCACATACTGTCACATACAGGTTGATGCAGGGACCGCAGAGGGACAACGACGATCGTTTGTGGTGTTGCCCGCTTCTTGCGGGGGAGTTCCTTGGCACGGTCCTTGGTCCCCAGGCGTTTTGCGTTCTTGTTTGTTGTTCCTTATTGCCCACTCGGGCAATGGTCCCGTAGTTTTGACGCGGGTTGAAGGCGCTGCCTGGCTCCTATTGTTGATGGAATGGGATCGCCCCCCTCCCCTTGTCACCCGCTGGATGGCTACGCCCGTGAGCCTCGCGGAAGCCTCGCGAGTGGGATCGCCCCCCCTCCACCTTCCTCTGTACAGTGGCCCTGTAGGCGTGGCGTTGTGGCGGGTGCTGGTGCCCCCCCCTACAGATGTGGGTGAAGAGTGGTTCGTCGTCGTCGTCGTCGTCGTCGTCGTCGTCGTCGTCGTCGTCGTCGTCGTCGTCGTCGTCGTCGTCGTCGTCGTCGTCGTCCCCCCCAACCCCCACCATCCCATCGAGAGAGGCGGCCTGTGGGACCTTGGGGACCATTCCATTTGGGGGGGTGGGGGGGCTGTGAACCCTCCACCCTGGATCAGATATCCGTGCTGGGTGCCGTGGAACGCTCGAGCCTTCCCCCGCGTGCGAATGCGCCGCCAATCCAGCTCACCCGAGGAGCCTGATCAAAACAGCATGTGCATTTGCACCACGGTCTTGACTCGCGTTTCTACCGATCGCCGCTGCCGCCTTACTGCTCCCTCTCATCCTGCTCCTCGTCGTCCCTCCGGCGTCCGGAGGGAGTTGTCACGCTGTCATCCGACGACTTGCCACCACCTTCTTCCTCGTTCTCCTCGCCCTTCCTCTTTCCTCCGCCTCCTGTTCCCCCTCCCGCGTCCTCCCTCCTCCTCCCCGCTCCTCCATCCTTCTGGGAGGAGCCGACGCCCGCTCGACGTACGTATGAGATTCAGGACAGAGGAGAATGAGGATGGACGGATGGATGGATGGAGGGTGGAAGGGAATGGATGGACGGAGGGAGGGAGGGCGGGAGGGAGGCAGCAGGAGGAGGAGGAGGCAGCAGGAGGAAGAGGAGGAGGAGGAGGAGGAGGAGGAGGAGGAGGAGGAGGAGGAGGAGGAGGAGGAAGAGGAGTTGGAGCAGGGGGAGGTGGATAGCAGGGCCAGGAGCAAGTGGGGCGGACCAGCCTGACAGTGGAGGAGAGGGGAGGGTGCGCAGGAGAAGGAGGAGGCGGAGGAGGGTCGATCGAGGACGAGGGAGGGGGACGAGGCAGGGGGATGAGGCGGGAGGAGAGGGGGGGGGGGGACGAAGAGGAGGAGAAGGGCTTCCTCCCATGCCGCCCCTCGGGATCGCTCGAGCCCGCCGCCTCGCTCCCCCGCCCGGCGCCAGGCGCTGGACCTCGACGACTCGAGCCCGCGGTCCCTCGCCGGAAGCTGGCTGCCCGACATGACGCCCATGCGCTCCCCGGGCGTGCCCGGGGACGCGACCGTGCGCCGCTGGGCAGGCGGGCCCCGGCCGCCGCACCGGAGGGCTCCAGAGGGGGGGTCTTGTCGTCGGGGGCGGCCAAGAGTCAGGAGGGGAAAAAACACACAGACACAATTAATCGTCGGTTCCCAGGAAAATATGGGAAACTATGGGAAGTGGGGGGGAAGACCAAAACCCAGAAAATATGGAAAATATAGGGAATCTCTTTACTTGTGTGTATTTATTTGTGTGTCCTGGGGCCCCTTCAAAGAGGGGGGTGATGACTGGGTCTGGACGCCCGAAATGGGTACTGAAACAATGGGTACGATGCCCAACAGCAATTCCTGTTCATGTTGAACAGGATTCGCTGTCCGCGCCGCCGCGGCCTGTGTCCATTCGACACAGGAGGCCGCCCGCCCAGCAGCGGCCGCTGTTGGTTCGGGACAACATTTGTTGTTGGGCATAGTACCCATTTTTCGGTGCCCATTTCGGGCGTCCAAACTAGGGGGGGGGGGATATCATGGCGGGGACCATGATTTTTCCCCAGATCTCAGGGCGCCTCTTCTCGTTTCATGGCGTCCCTGGCCCCCCCCCCCTGGGCCGCGCACGTGCCGCCGGCCACGATTTGCACCCCCCCCTGTTGGCCGCTCCCGATGCCGGAGGTGGACAGACCTCCTGTGCCCTGACACGTCGCTTAAGGCATTGGCCGTTTTCGGTTCGCGAGAGAGCGTCGCGGCCGTCATTTTAGCGGGTCCAGGTCCGTCGGTTTCGGTCCCAGGCCGTTTTCACTAAGGGAAGGTTCACTAAAGAGAGGTTTGTCCACCGCCGATTTTTGGGAAGGGGGTTTTCCAGAGAGCCCCCGGGGGGACCTCGGAGCCTCGTCAAGACAGGGGGTGCGCAGCCCCTGGGGGGCCCTTCCTGGAACCCCCCCTTCCCCAAAACCCTCTTTGGAGCCCTCGGGTCGAAGAAGTCAAAACGTCATATACACACACACACACACTCTTTCGGGGGTCTGGGCGGACTTCTCGGATCGGCGCCGGCCCATGCCTTCTTCTGTTCCTGTCGCTGCTTGTCTCCCCAGGGTTCCATCCACCCCTTCCTCGGTTCGAAGGCTGCAACCCGGGGCGGGTAGCCCAGGAGTTGAGCGCTGCACGTACCCAGGTGCTCTGGGCCTCCGAAAGTGGGTCCGAGTAAGTAGATGATCGTCGGGTTGGAGGATCGCGCCGCATCGCCGATGAATCGGCGATGCGGCGGGATGTGGAGCCTGATTCTCTCCACGCCGACGGCGTCGATGCATCGCCGACGCATCGCCGATGCATTTGCGATGCATCGGCGATGCGGTGTGATCCTCCGACCACGTCTACTCGGACCCCGTTTTGGAGGCCTCCATTCACTCCCTCCTCTGTTCGAAGGCGTCACCAGGGGCTGATAACCCATGGGGAGAACACTACAAGCATCCAGGCGACGAGGCTCCCCAGCGAACACCCGTTTGCATCCGCCGATCTTCTGTCTCGTCGGGCGCAGCACCCCCTCGTTACCCACAGCCTCCGCCAACCAGCCTGCTCCCTCCGCCCTCCCCGCGGGGCGGGCGAGAGGGGTCAGAGGTTCCTGGTTTCTGGGCTCTCTCTTCGGATTCCCGGCGGTGCTCCAGCCTCTGGGTGCTCTCCATCAGTTGCGCTTCGCCGAGAGCATTCCGTGGATGCCCAGATCGTCCTGAAGGTCCACCAGAGATTCGAGCCGTGACCCGAAAGCCAGACGACGACGATGGGGCCTCGAGAGCGCTCTATCGGGCTGGTGTCAAGGGGGGGTGAAGGAAGGGCCCCTTTAGGGCCCCTTTCTTCACCCCCCCTTTCGGGCACCCCTCTCCCCTTAACACCCGCCCGACTCCAGTGGACCTGGGGGGTCCAAAGATGGCCAAACTGACTCCAAGACCCTCGGAGGTACTCCGGGGAGGGGCGGAAAGGGGGTTCGCCACCCCCTCAGGAGCCTCTCCCGGCCGCCCCCCCACCACGACACCCCTAGGCCCCCCCCCCTCGAGACCAGTCCCAGGACCCCCCCCCAAGGAAGGCACCAAAGGGAAGGTGTTTTCCTTCGACTCGGCTACGACCTGGGTCGATTCACACAAAGGGCTGTCGACCTTTGGAGGGCCCCAGGTGCTCGCGGCGAGGCGGAGGAGGAGGTCGTATGGGCCACGCCCCACGGTGGCAACACGGGCGTGCCACGAATGCTAGATCTCCTCGCGCCCGCCAGCCGGGTCGGCGGAGTTGCCCTCCCCGTATCCGCAGCAGTTCCACGGAGGCAGAAGGCCAGCCGCGTGAGGCTTGGGAAGCCCATTGGAGGCAACAGGGCGAGCGATAAGGCACGAGCCATCCCAATAGCTCTCCTCCTCCTCCTCCTCCTCCTCCTCCTCCTCCTCCTCCTCCTCCTCCCGATAAGGCTTGGGAAGCTCATTGGAGCCATCCGGACACATTTCGTTCTTGTCTGACTTGGGAGGCTTGGTGGCCATTCGGAGCCGTCTTTGGTGGGCCCTCTTGGCCACGCAGGGAGCCCTTCCGGAGCCGTCGGTGAGGGCGTCTCGGGGGATTCGTGGAGGCGTCCACGACTGGGTCTGGAGGCTCGGAGGGCCCCGCGGGTGCGCTGTGCTGGGGAGCCCGTTGCCCCCCGCGCCCCGAAGACCCCCTCCAGCGGCATCTTGGACCCCGGGAGGGGTCGGGTGTGACGGGGGTCACTGCAAGCGGTCTGCACGAACGAAATGGGCACGTAAAGAATGGGCACAATGCTCAGCAGAAGTTCCTGTTCATTTTGAACAGGGCTCGCTGTCCGCGACGCCGCGGCCTGTGTCCATTTGAGACAGAAGGCCGCCTGCCCAACAGCGGCCGCTGTTGGTTTGGGACAACATTTGTTGTTGGGCATTGTACCCATTTTTTCCGTACCCATTTCGGGCGTCCAACTTTGCGTCCGCCAGAACGCCGGATTTTGCAGGATCCTGCAGAGCCAGGGATGCACTGACCCAGGCCAGCGCGCAGGATCCTGCAGGATCCTGCAACGCCTGGCTGACCTGGGTGTGCATGGACCCAGGCCAGTGCGTCCCCGAGATGGGACAAGGGGGATGAGGTCAGCCAATCATCTTTCGCATCTCGAGGAAGCGCATGCATGGACTAAGGCGGGCGGGCTAGCGACGGGTCCCGTTTCCATACAGAATCGGCGCGCTTCGCCACCAAATCGGGCGCCATTAGAGCCCTCCCTCGGGGGTGCCCTCTCCGATTCATGGATCTGGTGACCGTGCACCAGATCCACGTATCCCCAATCCATGTTAGAGTGCGCCCGACCGAATCCCACCCTGGGCAGGAGGGTGGTCGACGGATGAAGCGGCCCTGCTCCCCTTCCCACCTCCTCCTTTCGGACGGGGCTGGGACGAGGATCAATCCGTTCTAAAGCGTTACGCTCTAAGATGACCGTGGCGCCCGATACATCCTCCAGAGCCCCCCGACCTCTGAGATTCTAGAGTTTTCCCGACCCGGACTACAGTCAACCCGCGTAGTAAGGAAAGGCAACCTTCCCAAGGGTACCCTTGCATCCTTGCCTCCTCGGTCCATCCCTCGCCACTTTCGCAGGCCGCGCCCCGATCGAAAAGCTTCGATATGGGCGTCCGAGTCCCTTGCACTCTTATCTCGCGCATCCTTCTGCTACGGGTACAGTCGGCCCTGATTAGTAGGTCGACCCTGCCAAATCAAGGGCACCCTTAAGTACCCTTGTGTCCTGTGCCCCGCGGCCCATGCCTCCCACATCCCCCATGGCAATGTGGCCCTCGGAAGGGTCTTGTGTCCTCTCGCGTGTCCTGTCAAAGTAAGGCCGACTGTAGACTGTAGTGCTCGCCCTGGCTTCGTGTTGCCTCTCCTCCCCCCCCTCCGTGCCCCCAGCCCGTGTTCTTGTCGATGGGCCTGTTTTCCACCACCACCACCACCATAAGTTGGAGGGGGAGGGGGTCCTCCTCCTCCTCCTCCTCCTCCTCCTCCTCCTCCTCCTCCTCTTCGTCCTCCTCCTCTTCCTCGTCTTCCTTCTTCCTCCCTCCAACTTACGGTGGTGGTGGCGGTGGAAAACAAGCCCATCACTTGTGTCGCCAACGCTTCTTGGCGCCCGAGCCTGCCTGACAGATTCCACGTTGCGCTGGTGGCGCGGCACAGGCAAACCGTGATACGATTCTGTCCAGAGTGCGACGTGTGCATTGGGAGGCAGAGCAGTCAGAGGAGGAAAAGGAACCAATGCCGGTACCCTCGCCTCGTTTACGCCATTTTGGGCCTCCTTGGAGGCCCCCGTCGCCACCGCTGGATTCGCCTCGAAGTTCTTGTCAGAACGCACACCGGGAGCGGTCTGGGGAGCAGCGGTGTCGGTACATTCTCATTGCCCCAAGGGCATGGTGCAGAGTGCGACGTGCGCGTCGGAGGAAGAGCCGGACCAGAGTTCTCGGGCACCGACGCTGGGTCACGCATGCTCTCCCTGTCGCCCCCCCGGCCTGCCTCCCCACGCCGACTTTGACCACTACGCCTTAGGCGATGATTAAGAAAACTGAAGTTTTCGGCCAGAGTCTCGATGATTCTTAACGTTTCAATGTAAACCTTAAGATTTTGATAGAAATGTTGGATGTTTTCCAAGTTCTGAGACTATGAATTTCTTAACCCATGATTTCTTAAGCATTTCGCAGGGTGTATGCCTGAGGGCTGAGGCCCACACGCCCTGGCCTCAGAGGCCCCGCCCTCGGCGGACACAGGTGCGCTCCGCTCCGCACAGTCCGGATGAGCGGCTTCCCGAGGTGACCCTCGCACCCTTGCCCCTTCGGCCCCTCCTCGACCCCTTTCGCTGGCCGTGCCCCGCTCGAAAGGTGTCGGCATGGCCTTCCGAGGCCCCTTGCGTCCTGGCTGCGCGTCTTCAGTGTGCGCTTTGCCTCTAATGGCAGGGGGGCTCGGGGCCTCCGGAGTCTCGGGGCCTCTCAGGGCCCAGGACTCCCAGTGTTTGCTTGGGCTGTTCGTTCATGGGGCTCGTGTTCTCCAGGGGGGTGCAGGGGCTCGGGGCCTCGGGGCCCAAGTGTCGAGCCCAGGGGTCGGGGGCTCCAGGGGTCTCCAGAGCCTCAAGGCCTCTCAGGGCCTGGGGGTTCCAAGTGTCCTCTGGGCATGCCCGCTCGTGTGCCCCAGAGTCGCAGGGCCCGGGAGGAGCAGATTTGTGCACATCGTCGTCGCAGAAGAGGCAGTCTTGGGCCTGCGTCACCCGCGGGGGCGCGAGCACAACCAGTGCTCTGCGCGTCGCGGCCTGGGCCGGAGACGTGCTCTTCTCCAAGGCGGCGGCGAGATGGCGCCGAAGGCGTCGCGCAGCGCGGGGCGCGCGGCGCGCCAAGTGAGGTGACCTACTGTCGGTTGGTGCCGTGTCGTCGCGGCTGCGACCGCAGCGCGTGCGTGCAAGGTCGGCCGCCGCTTGTGGCCCAGAATCGGCCAACATGGAGCGATCTGGCGATCGAGAAGCCGCCGGCCGCTCAAGGTGGAGCGTTCCACGCGGTATCAGTGGTCGGGGGCGGAAAAGAGGGGGGTGATGACTAGGGGGGGTGGATATCATTGCGGGGGCCATGATATTTCCCCAGATTTCATGGCGCCTCCTCTTATTTCATTACGTCTCTGCCCCCCCCGCTGGGCCGCGCACATGCCGCCGGTCATGATTTGCACCCCCCCCTCTTGGACACCCCCCTCATTTGCCGTCCCCGAATCAGAGACCAACGCCATGGTCGTCACGACAAGAGCCTGCCGTGGTTCGGGCGGACGGCAACGGGGGGCAGTGAACGTGGAGGGATTGAACATGTGCGGGGAAGTCAGCATCGTTCGGCCGATCCCGGTCCCATCCCCATCCCCATCACGATCCCCACCATCCCACCACCCCAGTTGGGGGTGTGCCCCTCGAAGCCCGAAGGAAACAGCCAATAGCCTCGTCCAGGGGAGTAAATCGGCCAGTGGGGCGCGGGCCCGCCATCGCACCGAAGCAGGGCAACCCTGGCGACGCGGGCCGCCCGCGGGTAGACCGAGAGGCTGCATGGCGAAGGGGCGCGAGCTGCCTGCCCCGACACGCCTGCGTCTCGCGCCCCACGCGGCGCGCCCACGGGAAGTCCGACTTCGCCCACCACGCGAACTCGCCACGGGCGGCCTCGAGCCCGAGCTGAGCAGCGCCAGGGGCAGGGATCGGTTAAGCGATGCTCAGAAAGTGTTTCCAAGGGGCCCCAGATGGCCCCCTCTGAACTGCCACCGCGGGCCCAAGAGGTGCGCGGGCGGTGCGCGTTCCTCCACCCCCCACGTGTATTTGTCCCCATTCGCGAGCTCCTCCTCCTCCTCCTCCTCCTCCTCCTCCTCCTCCTCCTCCTCCTCCTCCTCCTCCACCCTCCTCCTCCTTCCTCCTCCCCTCCTCCTCCTCCGCCTCCCTCCTCCCTCCTCCTCCTCCCCCTCCCCCTCCTCTCCTCCTCCTCCTCCTCCTCCTCCTCCTCCTCCTCCTCCTCCTCCTCCTCCTCCTCCTCCTCCTGCGGCGTGCGAATCAGGTGAGCCGTGCAGCCTGCAGTTCTTCCCGGACGGCATGCCGCTGGAGCTGCCGCTGGAGGCCGGGTCGCCGCTCGCGGCGCACACGCCGCTGGCGTCGCCAGGATCGCGCCTCGTCCGCGCGGGCCGGCGGCGGGCTTCCTCACAAGGTACAGGAAGCTCCTCCTCCTCCTCCTCCTCCTCCTCCTCCTCCTCCTCCTCCTCCTCCTCCTCCCCCTCTTTCTCCGTTTCCTCGTCCTCCTCCTCTTCCTCCTCCTTTTTCTCCGGTTCCTCCTCCTCCGCCTCCTGCTGCCCGTCCTCCTCCTCCTCCTCCTCCTCCTCCTCCTCCTCCTCCTCCTCCTCCTCCTCCTCTTTCTCCGTTTCCTCCTCCTCCGCCTCCGCCTCCGCCTCCGCCTCCGCCTCCGCCTCCTCGAGCTAGACCAAACACGAGGTGGGTATTCAGTAGTACTCAGTCTCTCTAGGCCTCCCAAGTGAGGGGGGGTCCAAGCACATGGGGTCGGTGGATCGCGCCGCATCGCCGATGCATCGGGGATGCAGCTCGATGTGGAGCCCGACTTTCCGCGCCTGCGTCGCCGATCCGTCGCCGACGGCGCCGACGCATCGGCGGTGCATCGGCAACGCGGCGCGATCCTGCGACCCCATCTTCTCGCCCCGCCATTTGGGAGGCCTCTGGTCTTGGACCGAGAGTCCCCCCTCCCCCCCTCGAGGAAACGCTGGCCAGCGTGGGCCCTTCCCAGTGAGATCTTGCACCCTCGGTGCAGGCTGTGCGTGCCGCTGGCGACGTGGTGTGCAAGCTAGGTGTGGTGTAAGCGATGTGGTGTGAGCAACGTGGTACAAGCAGTGTGGTGTCAGGTCTGCAGTGAAACACGTGTGGTGCAAGCCATGGAAATTGGCTGCACGCTACGCGTTGCAAACCGTGTGAAATTCAAGAAGGCATTTGAACACGGTGCCTTGTTGGTTCAACCTTGCACTGGAATCTTCAGCGGTCCAGGGGGGATTTCAGGGTGTCCCGTGGGGGTGCTGGGGCACCCTCGGCAGAGGCGAATGTCCGCTCGTACAGCCCCCCCTCTGCTCCTGCTGCCCGTCCTCACCCGCTCCGCCTCTTTCCGCCGTCGCGCTTCCCTGCCGCCCGTCTGCTTGTTGTTGCCGCTGTGCTCCGCACGCCCTCGCCATCGCTGCCGCCGCTGCTCCTCTCAGGGGCCCGAGTGGCCCAGCATGGCTTCGGCGTGGCTTCCTGATTCTCTCTGTGAGGCAAGTCCGCCATCAAACATTGTGTACCAAATCGGTCAAACAACCGGTCATTTTGTCGATCAATCGGTCAGTCATCGGGCAGCAAAAACAACAAGGCGTGGTTGCGCGAGGGTCAGGAGCGCCTTCCAGGCTTGTGCCGCCGCTTCATTTGGATTTGGCAACGGACTGGTTGGCATCGTTGCTTGTGTGACGTGGGCGTACACATTGCGAAGGCCGTACGGCCAGTGTCGCCCACCCTGCGTGTTAGGAGGAGGAGGAGGAGGATGGGCAGCAGGAGGAGGAGGAGGAGGAAGCGGGAAAGGGAGGAGGAGGGGGAGGGGGAGGAGGAGGATGAGGATCCCCAAGGGGGAGGGGCCGCAACCCCTGGGACCACCCCTGAGACCACCAGGGGACCATCTCAGGACCCCCTTCGGCGGGGGAGGGATGAACTGACAAGGATTTCTCTTCGTCACGATAACGACGGCCCTTGATTTCCCAAAAGGGGGTGCTCCCCCCTGGGGGGGTCACAAACCGTGGTCCCCACCAGGACCAAACCCTTGGGACCAACCCCAGGGAACCCCCCTCCCCCTCCCCCGCCCGGCGGGAGAAGAAATCAAGTGGAAAGGGTTTCCCTTCGACTCGATGACGACGTTTGTCGATTCGCTTTTGGCCGAGACGCTTGAGGTAGAGCGACTCGATGACGACGATCCTTGATTTCTTTTTGGCTGCAACGCTCGAGGTAGAGCGCCCAGGGAAACAGGGAGAGCGGGGACGGAGACGACGACTCAAACAGAACAGCGTCAAGGGGGGAGTGGCGTCGGCGACGACGACGGGAACGGAAAGCGTCCCACGCGCCGACAGGGTCTGCGGATTCGCCTAATCAGATTTATGTTTGCCAGCATGGACCCCAAGCAGTTGTTATTGCACCGGATTTTGCGCTCTGTGGTGCAAGCTTCGTGGTGTAAGCTATGTGGTACCGTATACGTACGTGTTGCATGGTACGTGGTGGAAGATCATCGGCGCAGGCTTTGCGGCGCAAGCGATGTGGTGAAACGTGCGTCGTGCACTTGTAAGCGATTGCGGTGCACGCCATGTGCTGCCGGCTGTGCGGTGCCATAGACGCGGGGTGCTGTGCGTGGTGTGAGCTCCGAGTTGGACGCTGCAAGCTGTCTCGGGCAAGCCGTGCGGTAACAGCCGTCAGAGCCCCGAATCCTCAGGGGTAACTCGGGTCAGGGTGAACGCGGGTTCCTTTCTCGGGAATCCGAGCCCGAGTTACCCCGGACCCGAGTTACCCCGGAGAACTCAGGCGCCCAAAGCTGTGGTGCGAGACCCGTGGCCGCCCCGCGCACGTGGCGCCCACGAGGCGCCCCCGAGGCGGGCACTGCCCCGCGCACGCGAGGCGCCCAGGAGAGGTGCCCGCCGGCGCCCGCGGCTGGGGCACCGGGCGGGGCCTCGGCGGGCCCCGTCCGGTGCCCCCCATGGGGAGGCGAAGCGCGAGCCCCCCTGGGTGCAAGAGTCCTCCTCCTCCTCCTCCTCCTCCTCCTCCTCCCCTCCTCCTCCTCCGCCTCCTCCTCCTCCTCCTCCTCCTCCTCCTCCTCCTCCTCCTCCGCCTCCTCCTCCTCCTCTCCTCCCCTTCCTCCTCCTTCCCTCCTCCCTCCTCCTCCTCCTCCGGCCTCCTCCTCCTCCGCCTCCTCCTCCGCCTCCCCTCCTCCCCTTCCTCCTCCTCCTCCTCCTCCTCCTCCTCCTCCTCCTCCTCCTCCTCCTCCGCCTCCTCCTCCTCCTCCTGCGGCCGCTGCCCAGGGAGCAGCTGGCACGGGATGTGGCCGTGGGGGGGGGCGCGCCTCTCCGTGCCGAAAAGCCCTCGGAGCACGAGCCGCGAGAGCTCCCTGCACACGGGGGGGGGGCAGGAGAGAGGCCGCCCGCCCGCCCGGCGGCGCCAGGAGTCGCCGGGGACGTGACCCGCCGGCGGTGGGCGAGCGGCACGTACGGCCCCGACCCGCTGCTGTTCCCCGAGTTCCTGGAGCCCGCGGTGGCGCCCCCGGGGCGTGCGCTGGAGGAGGTCGAAGAGGGCGGGGTGCAAGAAGAGGGGTGTGAGGAGGAGGAGGAGGAGGAGGAGGAGGAGGAGGAGGAGGAGGCGGTGGGAGGAGGAGGAGGAGGGAGGAGGAGGAAAAGGAGGGGGGGGCAGGAGGAGGAGGAGGAGGAGGAGGAGGAGGAGAAGCGTGCACTACTCTGACGCGCGGGAGGCTATACAGCCGGCACGAGGGTTAGGAACAGCCTTAGGTTTATACGGGTACCTCTATGTCATAAGTGTTTTGGCGTTCCACTTTTGCGTGCTCTTCGCCTTTGGGCACCTCCATTCGGCATTGGCGCGTCCTCAGCCTTGAGTCGACTGCCGTACTTCTGAGTTTCACTGAAGCGGTATTTGGGGAACGAGTGGACTCAGTGGCGCGTGTTCAGCGGCACGGCCATGGACAGCACGGTCTTCGGGCCGTCCCAGGAAAGCATGCACATTTCACATAGGAGGTGCTCGCACGGCGGATCTTTCAGACTGCTCGATGTTCCTTTCCATCCACGTTTGGAAACGAGTCCGGACGAGGAGAGGACGAGGCGCAGTATTCGAGGAAGCGCAATCCAGGATTGTACGACGCGTGGCTTGTCGACGGGTCGCGCTTCCATACGGAAGCGATGCGCTACGTCGCCGGATCGGGCGGCAATGGTTCAGGAGGAAAAAAACACACAGACACAATTAATCCTCGATTCCCCAGAAAATATGGGAAAATATGGGAAGTGGGGGGGAAGACAGAAACCCAGAAAATATGTGAAAATATGTTTTGTTTGTGTATTTATTTGTGTGTCCTGGGGCCCCTTCAATGGTGCCATGTTTCGGGGGGGGGTCGCTCTATTCGATCCGTGGATCTGGCGCCCGCGCGCCAGAGCCGCTCTGCGCAGCCGTGGTCCGTGTTGGCGTGCATCCGCAGTTAATAGAACGACGCGGGGAAGGATCACGTGCTTCACAGTGTGTGTGTGTGTGTGTGAGTGTGTGTGTGTATGTGTGTGAGTGTGTGTGTGAGTGTGTGTGTGTATGTGAGTGTGTGTGTGTATGTGAGTGTGTGTGTGTGATGTTACCTGCACTGTCAGCTTTACTCGCGGCCACGTGGGCCCTTCGTCTTCATACCCTGCGCTCTCGCAGCGCAGAAGGAAGCATGAGGATGGGGAGGGGGACGAGGAGCAGTGGGAGGGGGAGGAGGACAAGGAACACGGGAGGAGGGTGGGGGAGGAGGGCCATGCAGCTTTTCAGCTGGAAGATCGTTGGGATCCCAGCGGGCGAGGACGACTCGCGCTGCGTCGCCGTGGGCTCCTCCCTCCTACGCCCTGTCGAAGGCATCTGTCAGTACACATCTGACAGCGTAGATGTCGCCATCGCGGAGGACGCCTTTGAGCGGCAGGGCATGCCGGCTCACACCACCCGCCCGTGTGCGGCCGCGTGGCGTGCCCCACGGTTTTGCACGATGGGAGGCGAGCTCAGCCAGCCGCTCCAGCCGCGGCGCGGGCTCCCCCAGGGCGGCAGCCTCGCCCTCAACGCCATGGTCGACGCACCCAGGCCGTGGGCGCCCGACTCTGGCTCGGCGAGCGTGGACGACCGCAGCCTCACGGCTGTCGACGACACCGCCCTGGCGGCACAGGTCACCATGACCGCCAGGCTCGACAGCGACGTCAGCTTCACGGAGAACGCCGCCAAGCAGCAGACCAGGAACGTCCCCGACGATCCACCGCAGCGCATCGAGCATCTCGGCCTCGCGGCCGTCCCCGCAGATCCATCCGTGGATCCATCTGTGCCAGTAAGTATTGTCGAGTCGGGCATCCGCCTCTTGAGTGGCCTTCCAGGCAGCTGCGTGTGCGCGTCATCCTCGCCATCGCCTACATACCAACGACCCCACTGGACTTGGACAGCCCATCTCCGGACCACAGTCCTGGTAGACTACGCGAAGAGCCTGCACCGCGACACCGGCGCTGTCCATCCCGAGGTGTCTCCTACCGACGACCTCCGTTTCCAGCGGGTGACTCGACAGGTCCGTCGTGGCACCCAGCAATTCTGGACCACCAACAAGAAGGCTGCCGTCGTGCTGCGCGCTAATTCGGAATTCGCGCGTCTGGTGCCTCCAATGGGCACGGCAGACCCGACTCGACAGGGAAGAGGTCGACAACGTCGACGTCGATGCACCGCCACATCGTGTGTTTACGAAGTGGCGCACGGATCTGGATGACCACGCCGAAAAGCTCCTCATCATCTACCCGGGTTATGCAGCAGCAACATCCACGCGACGACAGTGCATTTTGCCCTGCAAGTTCTGCAACCGCACTTGCCCGTTTTTTTCCGGCACCTGCGGGAGGATTGCCCCGAGTTGAACTACGCCCCCGCACAACGTTGAGTGGCAGTTTCTCAGCCCAGAGTGACAAGCACATCTGGATGGATCATCTATCAGGCGGATCCGTTTGCCATGCCGCGCGCAGGATATCTGGTTGCGACCTGCGAGCTGGCGCTCTGCATCCTACGTCGGGCCCTCTCTGGAGACGGAGGCATTCTCAGCCCTTCCCGACGCCGGAGGATAGCTTGAGGGCTTCCACCGTCGGACCACTCCAGAGTCAGGGTATTCCACTTCACCAACGCTGGAGGGGCAGGGATCCACGGAAGGACATTCCTCGTGCTCATCATTGATTCCGTTTGATATTTTGTTTTTTCCTCTTCATGGACCGTTTTGAAGTCCATGTTTGGGGAACCATGTGGCGCTGGAGTGCGTGAGGAGTGTGTAGAATTGAATCCCCCTTGAGCCATCTGGGAGGCTGGTTTTAAGCTTCTGGTAAGCCAATGGGCACGGGAAGGGCGAAGGGGCTTCTGAATTGGGCGATGTTGCGCGCAGCACAAACCGGTGGAGGGGGCACGGAAGTGGCGGCGGGGAATGAGGATTGTAGAGGAGGGGGAGGAGGAAGATGGAGGAGAAGGAGGATGATAAAGGAGGAGGAAGAGGAGGATGGGATGAGAAGGAGGGGGGGAGGAGGTGGGGGAGGAAGGGTAGTTCAGGGGTGAGTAGGGGGGAGGCGAAGGAGGATGGGGAGGAGAGAGGCGTGGGAAGAGGGGGGAGAGTTGGAGGAGACAGAGGAGGAAGAGGAGAACAAGCAGGAGGTGGAAGAGGAGGAGGAGGCGGTAGAGGAGGAGGAGGAGGAGAAGGGGGAGGAGGAGGAGGAGGCGGAGGCGGAGACGGAGGAAGAGGAGGAGGAGAGGAGGAGGAGGAGGAGGAGGAGGAGGAGGAGGAGGAAGACGAGCAGGAGGAGGCGGAGGCGGAGGAGGAGGAGGAGGAGCAAGAGGAGGAGCAGGAGGAGGAGCAGGAGGAGGAGGCGGAGGCGTAGGCAGGGTGCTGAGGAATGGTGGTGGGCGGATGTGCCCGGGCCTCCCGGCGCCGGCTCCCCCCCGAGGTGGTCCACAGCCCGCTCGCCTCGCCACGGGCGTCGCCTGGTGTGGCTGGGAGCACCTCGCTGCGCGGGAGCGCGCGGGGGCCCGCTGGGCGGGCGTCTCGGGACGGGACGGGTCGCAGGCGATTTTCCCCCCCCCCGGTTTTTCGACAAATTATTGGAACCGCTCAAGAAAGGAGGGAGACCCTGGGATACCCCCCCCCAGGGGGAGCATTCGGACGCACCCCTATCGAGGATGGAAGCCCCCCCCCTCGTATATCCCATGCGGGGCCCGAAACTTCTGGTCCACTCGAAATCGAAAACCCACGAAGCCTGGGACGGGGGTCGACACATCCCGTGTCGGGGAGGGCCGACGCAGGAAGGTCCGGTTGGCGTCGCAGAGATGCAGCCAAGGCGCCAAGAAGGAGGACCTCGCTCCGGGCTCCGGAGGGCTCGCTGGTCCTCGGGACATTCCGCGGTTGTTTCTTTGGCCGTCTTCGTGCACCTAGGCACCTGGGTTAGATCGGGCACGGCCCTCTACTATCTGCACGAAAGAAATGGGTACGGAAGGACTGGGTACAATGCCCAACAGCAGTTCCTGTTCATTTTGACCAGGGCTCGCTGTCCTCGCCGCCGCGGCCTGTGTCCATTTGAGACAGACGGCCGCCTGCCCAACAGCGGCCGCTAATGGTTTCGGACAACACTTGTTGTTGGGCATTGTACCCATTTTTACGTACCCATTTCGGGCACAGGAGGAATATGCAAACATAGTAGAACAATCGGACGGGGACGATGTTTCGAATATTGTTTTGACTATGTTTGAGCGCTTTTGGACGTTTGAATGTTTCCTCCAAAATCCGCCTGCAGGAGGACACGCCCGACCTTGCGGGAAAGATTTGTATCCATATCCAGTGCGTCTTGCACTTTCTTGGAAGGGGCGCCACAAGGCCGAGGCGCACTGGACATGGATAGAGATCGAGCCCCAGGGGGCAGAGATGCCCACATCCCGTGCGCCTCGGGTTTTCTGTGGAAGAGAGCCCCATACTGCAGCGGATATGGACAGAAGTACTGCCCGCAGACCTGACACCTGGGGGTGCCACAAGAAGGGGCTTCCTTCCGCTGTTGGCTTCCGACGGGGACGATGTTTCGAATATTGTTCTGACTACGTTTGAGTGTTTTTTTATGTTTGAATGCGTCCTCCAGAATCCGCCTGCAGGAGGACACGCCCGACCTGACACCTGGGTGCCAATAAGGGGCTTCGTTCCTGTGTCTAGGCATCGCTCGGACGCGTGCATTTTTTCTTCCGGCGAGGACCATCGAGGAGCATCCTTGATCATTTGGCGACAAAGACACGCACGAAACCGAAAACAGCACAGCGCATGGACGCCCGAGCGATGGCGAGCTGTTGGCTCCCGATACCTCGACCGCCCGGCTGCAGAGCGTGCGGCGTGGCGCCGCTGGCCCGCCGAGGACGAGCGGTGGTCCCCCGGCCTCTGTCCCAAAAGGGCCCTGCCGACCTCTCGCCGTCGCTCGACCTTGTGGGGGGATCGGGCCGGGTCGACCCAGGCAATCGAGGTCATTCCAGGTGATGCTAGGCAAGTCCAGGTAGTTCTAGGTCATCAGATGCATATAAGCCGAGGCAACTCGAGGTAGATCCAGGTACATGCGGATAGCTCCAGGCAGATCCAGAATGGCAGACTGGACGCGGAGAAATTTGCCGTCCAGCTCCCCCGCTTCCCCGCCGAGGCAGGGCCCCGTCTGGCGCGAGGAGGCGAGCGGTGGCTCGGCGTTCCTGGGATGTTCGCGCCCCCCCTCTCTGCCCCCCCCCTCTCCTCCCTCCAACTAAAAAAAAAAACAACCCAGGCAAATGCATATAAACCGAGGTAATTCTAGGCACATCCGGGTACATCCGGATAACTCCGGGTAAATCCAAGCAAATCCAGAGATCTTCAGGGAAAGTGGGAGCAGTTCGCGGCCGCTCCAGCGCGAGTCGAAGGACGGCAGCAGTCGTTAAGCCTCTAACGACCTTGGGGATGGGATGCACCGAGGATTCGAGGAGGAACAGGTACCATACAGCTACCCTTCCATCAGTTTCGCCTTTTTGGGCCTCTTGGGGGGCCCTCGTCGCCATCGCTGGATTTGCCTCGACACTCTGGTCAGAGAGGTCTAGGGAGCAGCGGTATCGGTACCTTCCGGTCTCCCTAGAGGCAGCACTGTCAGGGGTGAGGAGGAGGAGGAGGAGGAGGAGGAGGAGGAGGAGGAGGAGGAGGAGGAGGAGGAGGAGGAGGATGAGGCGGAGGCGTGCACCGACGAAACCCTCGCAGGGTGATAGCGTGCACAGTCGAGGCCCTCGCGGGGGGAGTCGCCTCTCGGGGATTGCGTGCCCCTCGGAGATCGAAGTGGTAGGCTATCGCTGCAACGCCAATCGTAGGCCCAGAACGCTCCGAAAGGCCGGAGACCCGATCTATATAACCCGAAGGCCAGACGACGAGAATCGGTTCGGGGGCCACATGCGAACCCTCCCCCTCCCCCCACGATTTCTGAGCGGGGGGGTTGGGGTAGGGTTCGCATGTGGCCCCCCTATTCGGGCGACAGGGGGGGGGACGAAATCTGCGGCACGCAGCTGGCTCCGGCCCCGACGCGACGGCGCTTTCCCCGACACGCCGGCGCCTCTGGTGCCCCTCCTCGCTTGGCCTCGCTCGGACGTGTGCGCTTCCTCCTCCCCGGCGAGAACCCTCGAGGAGCACCCTGGAGCATCGAGCGAAGCAGGCACGCACGAGATCGAACCATGCGCAGGGGGTGGATCCGGCTGCGTGGGCTGGCTCGCTGCCCCCGGCTCTGCTGTCCCCCCCCGTGCTGCCCCGGCCCGTCGTTTCCCTCCCCCCCCCCCCGCCCTTGTAGCCGGCCTCCTCCTTTGGGCGGGCGTCGGCGGACGGCTCCAGGGAGGAGGAGGAGGAGGAGAAAGAGGAGGAGGAGGAGGAGGAGGAGGAGGAGGAGGAGCAGGAGGAGGAGGAGAAAGAGGAGGTGGAGGTGAAAGAGGAGGAGGAGGAGGAGGAGGAGGAGGAGGAGGAGGAGGAGGGGGACTTGGATGATGGATGCGGGTGATGAGGATAGTGCGGATGGAGCTGGAGGAGCAGACTTTGGCGTTCTGCTCCGGGGTTGGTTCTTAGGTCGCGCGCTATCTGGTGTGCACGTTTGTGCCTTGAAAGTTCGATAAGGGCGAAGATTGAGGGAGGATAAGGCAGGGAGGGAGGAGGGAGGAGGTGGTGTTTGATGATGGGGAGGGGAGGGATGTCCAGGGGCCTGCTGCAAGTCCCGTCGCCGTGCCAAGTCAGCCCGTTGGGTGACAAAGCTTCGAGCATCGAAGGCCGTCGCACGGGAACCGTGTCATCGTCTTTTCTTGAGGATGGGTCCGTGCTGGGGCTGTCTGAGGCTCCCGTGGGGCAGTCTTGGGGGTCCCTTGGGGCCCCCTTGGGCTGTCTCATGGCCCTACTTGGGCAGTCTTCGGGCCATCTTTGGCCGCCTAGGGGATGCCCTGGCGGAGCCTTGGGCCGTCGAGGGGCCCTCAGAGGCCGTCTCGGGTCCCCCCAGAGGCCCTCGTGGGCCAGCCTGGCGCTCTCTTGGGGTCGTCCTCGGCCGGCCAGGGGCCACGTTGCTGGGCTGTCTCGAGGCTGCCTTGGGGCCGTCTCGAAGGGCCGTTGCGCCGTTTCGGGGCTTCCGTTTGCCGTCTTGGGGGCATCTTGGAGGTTTTTTGGGCTCTAGGGCCGTCTGAAGCTGAAAGAAGAGTCCGAAAAGGTGCATACGCTCGTTGTGGACAACGAAAGGAAATCAATGATGATCCGGGTTGGGTGCTGGATCTTGCAGGATTTTGCAGGATCCTGCAGCATTTTGCAGGATCCTTCAAGGCCCGGCTGACCCTGGTCAGGATTGACTTGGGTTAGTAGGTCCCCGACTTGGGGCCCCCCTTCGTCCTCCGCTTCACCACTGCCTCCTCTTTGCCAACCCTCCTCCTCGCCAACCATCCTCCGCCCCTCCCTTCTCCCTTCTCCTCTTCCTCCTCCTCCTCCACCTCCTCCTCCTCCTCCTCCTCCTCCTCCTCCTCCTCCTCCTCCCCCTCCTCCCTCCCTCCTCCTCCTCCTCCTCCTCCTCCTCCTCCTCCTCCTCCTCCTCCTCCTCCTCCTCCTCCTCCTCCTCCTCCTCCCCCTCCTCTTCATCCTCTTCCTTCTCTTCTGCCCCTATCCCATCCCATCTCCTCCTCTCTAAGGAGCCCAGACCTGCCGTGCCACATCGAGTTCTTTCCCGGCGGCGCTCCTCCGAGCCCGCACGGGTCGCCAGAGCGGGATGAGGCGCCCTTTTTCGGCGGGCCCCAGGGTCGCCCGTGGGGGCGAGAAAGGAGAGGTGAGAGGTAATTAGGGCGTTGCGCAATGGGGGGCGACTAATGGGGGGTGGAGGAAGGTGCACCTATTGTGCCCTAAAGGGGACCCCAAGGGGCCCAAAAGGGGCACGAACAGTGCACGCTTCTTCGCCCCACCGATTGTCGCCCCTCCAAGGAGCAACGCTCATGGAGGGAGGAAGGTCCGTCCACGCGAATCTTGGCTGGGATACGGCGCAACCCCCTCTCCGGAACAACCGCTGCTGCCCAGGCCCGAACAGCGGTTGCTTTCGGGGCAAGGGGGGGGAGTGAGATCAGGAGGGGAGGGTGGAGAGCAGGGGGGATGAGGAGATGAGGGGGGGAGGTGGTTGAGGTGGGGGGAAGAGGATGAGCGGGCAGGAAGTTAGGGTAGTTGAAGAGGGGGAATCGAGCAGGGGGGGACGGGCAAGAGGGGGCGAAGAAGTGCAGAGCAGATACGAGGAGGGGGATGGAGGGGAGTAAGAGGAGGAGATGTGGGAGGAGGGGATGGAGAGGAGTATGAGGATGGAGGGAGGACGCGTGGGAGGAAGATGCCGGAGAGTAAGGAGGAGGATGGTGGGGAGCGCAGTAGGAGGAGGAGGAGGAGGAGGAGGAGGAGGAGGAGGAGGAGGAGGAGGAGGAAGAGGAGTATGAGGAGGATGTTGATGATGATAATGATGATGATGATGATGATGATGAGGAGGAGGAGGAGGAGGAGGAGGAGGAGCGAGGAGGAGCGAGGAGGAGCGAGGAGGAGCGAGGAGAAGCGAGGAGAAGGAGTGAGGAGAGAGAACTGAGAGGAGGGGGGCGAGGGCCAGGAGGAAAGAGGACGATCAGAAGATCAAAGTGAATCCAAGATGCACCAACGATGCTGCAATACACCCTCTCGTCCCAAGTCCCCTCTTCATCTTTCCATGAATTCCGAGCACGATATATGACCACCACCACTAAGATCGGAAGCACTACGGTCCAATTTGGTGCAGTCTTGCTCTGGTGGAAAGCCTGCAGCCCCCCTCCCGTCGCCAATGGCAACCGGGCTGCCCCCCCCCCCCCCTCTTCTCTTAAGGACCAAGACACGCTCGGTGGTGGTGCGTATGATGTTGCTTGCAAAGCGGGCCGAGTTTTATTCACCATCGCCGAGAAGTGCCGCGCTTCTGCTTCGGGAGCTTCCCCACCACGCCCCCCGCGCGCCGCGCCGCGCTCCTGTTCGCCGCGGGGTCGCAGCATCGTCTGGCATGACCCTGCCCCCAACCTTGGCATCGCTCGGACGTGTGCATTTTTCCTTCGGCGAGGACCATCGAGGAGCATCCTTGATCACTTGGCGAAAGAACCGCGCACGAAACCGAACAAAAGCGCAGGGAATGGACGTCCGAGCGATGGCCAGCAACCGTTTTTGTTACGGTCCTTTGCTCCTGCGCGCGGCGGTGGCGTCTGACGAGGGGCCCCGCGCACGAAGCAGCCCCCCTTGCGTGACGACGATGGCCCAGTGGGCCTGCCTTCTTGGGCGGAGCCCCGCGCTGCCGAGGATCAGCCCTCCATCCGCCCAGCGGGCAGAAGCGCACAGGGCCAGGGCTCGTTTCGATTCCCCCGATTCGATTCATTTCGGTCGCCGATCCGATTTGTCGATTCGATTCTGGGCTCTCCTGCAGGGCCAGGACGAGACGACTCGAGGAGGTTTCCAATGATGGCCCGCTCCTGAAACGGATTGGTCCTGCATCCCGGCATGTGTTCTCTAGCCGTACGGTTTACGGATGCATTGAGCGAGGGCCCCAGTTTGAAAGGGAGCCGATTCCATCCGTTCAACGTTTTCCCACTCGGGAACGTCGGGGGCCGCATTTTGAAGACGTTCCGGTCCCCATCCTTGGTAATTTCTTGTTCGTTTTGACAGCAGGATGAGGGAAGATGCAGGCAAGGTGTTGTGGCGAGGAGGGGGGATGGTTTTTTAGAGAACTATTGAATCACAGGCCATTCCACTGTGTGTCAGGTGGCACGGCTGTGGATGTGTATCAATTCTGCTCTCTCCGTTCTCCAATGCTTGTCTCTACACCATTTCTCTTCTGCTTAGCTTGCCCCAGAATACTTGTGTCGTGTGCTTGGCTTCGTTTGCTCATACAGAAGCCTCGCTTCATCTTTCAATGCGTCGTCCTACTCCGTATCGTTATAGTCATCATCGTCCTTGCGTGGTGCTGGTTGTTCATGCTGCGTTCGAATCATATTCTCACGCATCCAGGGAAAGGAGAACATATGAAAGCTGGTGTGGACATCCTGCTTGTGGCTATGCAGTGCACTGTGACCTCTGTGGGGCTGTTTAGCCCCCGCCCTCGCCGCCTCATCGAACATGGAATTAATAGTCTTGCTCCCTGCACGCGCCATCGCTTTGACACTCTCTGCCTGGGACCCCTGCACAGGCCGCGGCTTCGCGGGTCTGGGAGCCGGCCTGGACCTTAGATGCACCGAGTTTGTTGCCGCGGATCATTGGGGTGCCCTCTCGAGCGTTTGGGCCAATGCCGTTGCCTCGACATGAGCTTCGGGCATGGGAGTCGTTGAAGCATGAGGACGTGGAGGACCGTGTTGAGGTGGACTCGAGCAGAGGTGGAGGAGACGTCAGTGGATGAGCAGCTGCGTCCAAGCGTATGACGTGCAAACGATGCCGAAAAGTACTGCGGCGAGCCCACGTCCTGCGTTTTTCGAGGCCGCGGCAGAACCCACCATGGAGGGGCAGGCCGCAGGCAAAGGCCGTGCCGTCCCCGTTTTGCCGATTTGGGCATGTGCCGTGTTGTTGGGACTACAGACTGCAGTGGGAACCCATGCCAAGAAGCACCATGCTCGCCTCCAGGGTGCCCTGGGCTTCTTGGGTTTCGATGGTTTCGCGATGGAGAGCGCGACGTTCGCACGCCAAGGATGAATGGACGTCCTGGGGACTCAGGGTTGGGTTTCTTGTGGAAGGTTTCGTGTGGACTGGCTTCCATTGTATCGTTCCTTCATCTTCTTCGATAGTCCGACTTCACCCTTCGGTCGTTGAAAAAAGAGATAATGGACTACCAGTTCCCAGTCTACTTTAGGCTCCTCCTCCCTACTTCAAGGATGGGGCGGTTTTCTTCCTCCCTCATCCTCAGGGGGGCTAGCGGAAACCGCGGAAACCCAATCTATTTCTAGCGTTTTCCTTCGTACTTGTTCTACCTACTTCTTCTGCCCAATGGGTACTATGTGGTCTGCAGTGCGTTCCGTGGGGCCGCTTTGTCGTTGCGGGCCGTTTGTTGACGGTCCCAGGGCCCCCGAAATGGCCCCGCCGAGGAACAGCACCGTCGGCGGCGATTTGCCTTGGAACCGCCAGAGGCCTGGACCGCGAAACCATGGGCGACGATGACCTACCAGCCCGCAACACATCCTTGTCCCTATGACTGGCATCGCGTTATCTCGGTGCCGATTTTAGGGAGCCCCTCAGTTTCTTTGGACGCCCGAAATGGGTTCGGAAAAATTGGTATAACGCCCAACAGCGAATGTTGTCCCAAACCAGCAGCGGTCGCTGTTGGCTAGGTGGCCTTCTGTTTCAAATGAACAGGCCGCGGCGGCGCGGACAGCGAGTCCTGTTCCAAATGAGCAGGAGCTTCTGTTGGGCATTGTACCCATTCTTTCCGTACCAGTGCCGTTCGTGCCGAGTTTCTGAGGGCGCGCCCCCGAGATTGTCATCCCCTTTTTTGGGGATCTTCGTGAGGAGCTGGACAGAGCTCGAGGCCGGTCAACGACGACGGCCGGGTCCGCGGCCCGAGCCGGCGAGGACCAGAGGAGGGAACGCAGGGGGGGGGCTTTCCCTGATGCGCCCCCACCTCCCCGCAGGGTTTAGCCGCGGGGAGAAGGTTTGCATGGCTACATACATTGTCTCTTACATCAGGAGAGAAAAAACACACACAGACACAATTAATCCTCGATTCCCCAGAAAATATGGAAAAATATGGGAAGTGGTGGGGAAGACAGAAACCCAGAAAATATGGGAAAATATGGGGAATATTTTTATTTGTGTGTATTTATTTGTGTGTCCCAGTTTCCCTTCAAAGGTTTGCATGGCTACAGACATTGTCTCTTACAGCCGTTAGCAGCAGCAGCAGCAGAGAGGGGGGGAGACGTAAGTCGGGCCTGTCCCTCTGCAGGGGGAAACTTCAGAATAGCCGCAACATCGTCGGGGGATGCTTTCTTCAGTTGTGTTTGGCTATCTTTGAACATTTGTGTTTTTGTTTGAGGGCCTGCCCGACCGAAGGTTAGGCTGGACCTGGCGTGCGAAAGGGGATCGGGAGGGGGGAGGCCGCGAACGATGCCGCATGTGGCGGGGTTCGTGCCCCGCCGCTGCGCGCTCTCCTCCATACGTGGGCGCCTCCAGCGCCGTGAACGTCGGCTGCGGGCGGTGTGGCTCGTCCGGCGCCTCCCCGCGCAAAATGCGCCAATGTATCGTGGAGGGCTGCGTGCGGCCGCATTGGCAACCTCCCTTTCCCGATTTCCGTTTCACCCCGACCGGGTTCTCGTGTTTTTTGGTTTCCAGGCCACAGGTCGGATTTCCGGCGGCCGCTCGGGAAGATCCAGTGGCCCCCAGCAAGCTGCGGCTGCCAGAGAGAGCACCCCGAGGCTGGAACACTGCTGAGCACCGCCGAGAGCCTCGGGCCTCGAGCCTCGATCTTCTCTCCGACCCGGCCGAGGCCCTGTGATCGCCCCCCAGACTCGTCTGCGGCGGGCGGCCAGGTCGTCGCTGCGACGGTGGCCGTCGTCGCCAGAGCTCTGGGCCGCGCGGCCGCGACGGCGCCGCGGCGGCCCACACCTCGGACCTCTGACCCAGGCGTGGACGGCGACGCGGCCTGGGCCTCGCTGCTACGACGGCCAGACCCAGACCTGTGACTCTTGCGAGGAGGAGGCAGGAGGAGGAGGAGGACGATGACGACGTTAACGACGACGACGACGACGACGACGCGGCCCGAGGCCCTGTCGCCCTCCGGCCTCGTCTGCGGCGGGCGGCTGACCAAGAACACGTTCATCGGAGGGGCTCGATGTGCACACCACTCTGTTTGGTCGGCTTGGGGGGCCAGGGACTTGATAGCGAAGGGGGCCAGGGGCTCGGTGCACAGACGCCCCAGCCAGCATCCAAGAGCTTGGGAAGCTTGCGGCGCGCGCCACCCCCGGCCCCCTCCTCCCCGCACCCCTCTCCCTGCCCCCGCGACCCCCCCCCTCCGTGCCACAGGGCCTCCCTCGCGCCTGCGAGAAAAATCGGCTGCACCCAGGTCGCCCGCGGGGGCGCGGAGGTGGTCGCGCTGTGCGCGCCGCGGTCTTGGCCAGAGCGGGTGCCCTTCTCCAAGGGGGGCGGAGCGAGGCCGCGGGGGCGCGACGACGACCGCGCGTCGCGCATCGCAGGGCACGAGGGCGCGAAGTGAGGCGACCTGGAGACACCACGCCAGAAGGGGGGCCAGGGCCCGAAGTGAGGACAGGCGCGAGATACAGGCCTCACTTCGCGCCCTTTCTTTGTGAGGGCGAAGGAGGTACAGGCCTCTCCTGTCAGAGGTCAGCGCCCGGTGAGCTACAGCCAAGAGCTGCTGAGGTAAGGAGCAGGTTGGGTTCGGAAGGGGCTCGATGTTCGTCAGGGCCTTCCATGGCTGCTCCTCCCGCCCGCCTCGTGCACGCAGGCGCTCGTGGGGCCGAGCGGGGGCCTCGCTCCTCATCTGGCGTTCCTTTCTTTCATCAGCCCGACTGCACGTTGGAGCGCGCTCACTCGTGCACGCTGGACCGCGGAATGCGTGGAGGGAGTGGAGGTGGAGGAGGAGGAGGAGGAGGTGGAGGAGGGGGAGGAGGAGAGGAGGAGGAGGGGGAGGAGGGGGAGGAGGAGGAGGAGGAGGAGGAGGAGGAGGAGGAGGAGGAGGAGGAGGAGGAGGAGGAGGATGTACACCTGTCTTTGTGTTTTTTGGGCGCGCCGTGCCGCGGCGCGCCGGGGGGCCGCGGCGGCCTCCGTGGCGTGCGGTCTCCCCCCCTCTCCCTGCGGTGGCGTCGACGGCGCCACCGTGCCCGAAGCAGGGGAAGATGATGGGCGATGCTGAGGACGAGGACGGGAATGGGGGGCGATGCTGAGGACGAGGACGAGGACGAGGACGAGGACGAGGCTGAGGGGAAGATGATGGGCGATGCTGAGGACGAGGACGAGGACGAGGATAGTTCAAAGCCCCGAATCATCAGGGGTATCTCGGGTCAGGGCTGACTCGGGTTCCTTGTTCGGGAATCCAAAACCGAGTTACCCCGGATAACTCGGGCGTCCAGAGCCCCGAATCATCAGGGGTAACTCGGGTCAGGGCTAATTCGGGTTCCTTTTTCGGGAATCCAAACCCGAGTTACCCCGGATAACTCGGGCGTCCAGAGCCCCGAATCATCAGGGGTAACTCGGGTCAGGGCTAACTCGGGTTCGTTTTTCGGGAATCCAAACCCGAGTTACCCCGGATAACTCGGGCGTCCAGAGCCCCGAATCATCAGGGGTACATCGGGTCAGGGCTAACTCGGGTTCCTTTTTCGGGAATCCAAACCCGAGTTACCCCGGACCCGAGTTACCCCGGATAACTCGTGCGCCCAAATAGTGGCGGTGATTATCGCAGGCTCCTGCTGCGAGTTGCAGCCGCCCGCTGCCTTTTGGAAGCGCCCATGTCCGGATACCGCCAGGGTCCCGTGAGAGGGGAGCGGGTTAGTCATTGGGACCCGAAGGCTTAAACATTTGCCAGAATCACCAACCAGGTTTGCTGTAGTTGGTGTTCTTTTCGGGTGACGGCAGTTCCGGCTGGGGGAAGGGGGCGGGGGGGCCGTCCACCGGTACACATCATTAAACCAGGTCCCATTCATCGAGTACGAGATCGATCACAGAGCCCCGAATCATCAGGGGTAACTCGGGTCAGGGCTAACTCGGGTTCGTTTTTCGGGAATCCGAAACCGACTTACCCCGGACCCGAGTTACCCCGGATAATTCGGGCGTCCAGAGCCCCACATCATCAGGGCTAACTCGGGTTCCTTTTTCGGGAATCCAAACCCGAGTTACCCCGGACCCGAGCTACCCCGGATAACTCGGGCGCCCAAATATAGTGGCGGTGGTTATCGCCGGCTCCTGCTGCGAGTTGCAGCCGCCCGCTGCCTTTTGGAAGCGCCCATGTCCGGATACCGCCAGGGTCCCGTGAGAGGGGAGCGGGTTAGTCATTGGGACCCGAAGGCTTAAACATTTGCCAGAGTCACCAAACCAAGTTTGCCGTAGTTGGTGTTCTTTTCGGGT